TTATTATTATTATTATTATTATTATTATTATTATTATTATTATTATTATTATTATTATTATTATTATTATATTGGACTCAAAGCACATGCTTTCAGTGCAGTAACTTTCTTTTAGTGCAGTATTTGATTGCATTGAAGTAAAGGGTACATCTGACTTAGAATAAGTAGTCATTACATTACTGTATAGGAATTTCTTTCACTTAGATATTAATGACATTATTTTATTGTATTAACATGTCTGACACTCATACTGTAAGACAAATGGTAGGGGGTGTAGTAAGGCTGTTGGGGGAAAACAGGAACTCCACAGGAAGAGTCTTTTGTCTCTTCGAGGACTCTGGGAAGTAGCAGGGGAGTGTGAACCTTAAGGTGTGAAACAGCTGTGTACTGCCTTTTGTTCCTGGAGAAGGTATTTAACTGAGAGCCATGCTAGACTCAGTAAGACTCTGCTGACCGTCTGTCCTGCGGCCATGGGGGCTCCACAAGCTTGTTTGTATGTTGTCTTTGTGTGCTTGGATTAAAGAATGTTAGCTACCTTCCACAACATTACTTTGCCATGAGTGTAAGTAAACTACACTAAAAATTCTGTCAACTTGCATACAATATCAGTAACAGAAGCGATTGTAATGGGTTCCAGTTAAAGCCAGAAAAACTGGTATAAGACGTGACTGCTTTTGTTTATAGTGTAAGGTATGCCCTCCTTTTATAAACAGTGAGGAGAATCTGTGAGAAAGACAGAGAAAGCTCCCCTGCCTGGCTCCTCAGAGAAACCCAAAATAAGGTTGAAGAACACATGAACATAAGAATTTTACAAATTCTGCTAATTGTGTGGATGTAAAATCTGATATATAAAAATCATATAATATTGAATTCAACACAATTAATTTAAAAACAATGATGAGACATTGACAAACAAACATATTCCTCTCCACTGGGGAAGGACAATGTAACGTAATCTCAAAGCCTAATGTTGAGGTACTGTCTAAAAAATAGCAGTCAACAAATACTATTTCCATTTCTGACTACAAGGTCAATACACATAAAACTATTCTTGTTTCATCAAATACAGATTAGGAATGTTTTTCACAAGATCAGATTATGCATACTAGCAGCTGCCTCTTCTCTCACTCACTCAAATGCCTTGTATGGAGGAACAGAAGCCTGAGAAACGTTGAAAACAATGTGTTTGTGCTTGTCACAACAAGACTTACAAGAGTACCTCACATTCAGCCACTATGAGGTAATGTAAACACGGAAATATACTTTAGCACCAATTTCTTCCCAGTAAAGTAAAAGTTGGCTTATAATACACAGCTTTCCTGAAAAGCAGCAGCGTTTGTCTTTCAAAAAGCAAATCCAAAAATGTCAAATATCCACTAATACTTATTTTAAGACAGAGTCTGAGGGGAGTCCTGTTGCCACCTGCATGCGCATCTCAGTCAAATAGCCTTTGTAGTTAAAGTGTGAACACGGTTCTCCACTATGACAAACCTCCGCCTTGTGAAAGATACAGAATTAATACAGACCTTTCCTAATGGCAGCAGGGTGTGGCTTCCTGCTTGATTCTCCAAGCCTGACCAAAGGTAATTTCAATCATGTATGGGGAAAAGCAAATCCAAACATGTAAATGTCGAGCAACACTTGTTTGAAGACAGAGGACAAACCCCTTGGGGGAGTGTCTTTCCTACCTGCCTGCACACCTCGATCAAATACCCTCGGTGCTAAGGTGTAATGTACAGCCTACCTGCACCACAGACTTCCCCTTGTTGCACTGTAAAAAGAGACTATCAAAAAGCAACAGTAGACTGTAAAATCCAAAATAATACAGGTCCAAATGACTTTTACAGAAAGACAAGCAGAGATGCCATCACCACATTCACTCATACACAAACGTCAACAAAACAGCTTCCTCCATGATTTATCAGTTCAAAATAAATAGGACCAGATTAAAACATACTATTTATACTGCCCATCTGCACTCTACATGGTAAATTCACCTTCCTGCGTTTCTTCCTGACTGAAGAACTGTAACATATTATTACTTCATTTGTTAAATAAATATCTACTGTATTACCAAAGATTAGCTGTCAATGACAAGTGGTGAAAGACTTCTCCAAAGCATTCCTTTAGTACAGTACAACAGTACACACTAAAGTTAACACATAAAAAAAAAAAATTCTGCATAAAATACCAAAAATAAAAATGGATTAATACTGCTTGAGCTCATTTTAAATACTTATATTCTGTTTAATGTCCAGCATCCAAGCATATGTTTGCAGTGGCTGTCCTGTGAGGACCACATAGCTATGATAAAACAAACAAACCAAAAAGACAATTGTTCACGAGCTGAGAAGCAGATCTATAATAAATATATTAAAACACATTAATTTAAAAAAACAGCTGAATTAAAAGCATTGAGCAGACATGTGACATGGATAATAATCTACAGGGGGTTTGAAATATGAATGAAAATGAAGGTGAAGCGTTGGCAAAACGTGTTACAAAATCAGACTGATAGAGACATGTACATGCTTGATACAGACTGGCTAATTGTGGAGAGCCAGAGAGACGTGAAATCAGCAGGTACAATTGTGTCAAAGTAAGCAATGAGTCATGCATTCAACCACAATGGACTGTGTGCACTTCACCACCAGCGAGACTCCATTGCTGAAGAAAAAAGAATGTTGAGCAACACTTAGACCAGCCTGTGAAATACTGGGAGATTATAGTCTGTTTTTGGATGCCATAAACGTGATATTTAGTGGTCAAAAGGCACTGCATATTACCTCACCATGCCAACAGTGAAGTTTAGAGAACATCATGATGTGGGGCTGTTTTTCAGCATAGGGCACTGGCATGCTTTAGGTAAAGCAAGGAAAGATGAATGGAAAAAGATACTAAGACATTCTGATAGAAATTCGCCGTCCTCTACCAGGTTGATAAAGATACAACAAGGGTAGATGTTTTAGCAAGACAGCGATTTCAAACACACAGCTGAGGAAACTCTCAGGTGGTTTCAAAGAAAGAAAATAAAGCTGTTAGAAAGGCTCAGCCAAACACCTGACCTGATGCTGATGATCTATGGCAAGAACTAAAGGTCAGAATTTGCAACATTTTATCAGTGTGTTGTTGCAAGCACCACCTTCTTTGCTGTGTCGTGCTGAGGTGCAGGCACCAAAGCAAAGGAAGGAAACAGACTGAACACACTCGTTGCCACCCTGGAGGAAGTGATCAGGGACAGAATGCTGGCAAAGCGTCTGGCAATCATTGTCAATGATTGCCAGACGTTTTAGCACCCGCTCCATAGCACACTGGACAATCTGAAGAGCAGTTTTGGCAACAGGTTCCTTCACCGTCGCTGTCTGAGGAAATGTTAGAGGAAGTTGTTCTTTCTGCTGCTATCAGACTCTTTAATTCATCCACTTGGGTCAGATCCACACATGTGGAACAGAACTAATCACATCTCAATGCACCCTGTCACTTTTGTACTCCACGACATATATTTTCACAGCTACTTGTATATTTATATTGATATTTGTATTTATACCTATTATCTATTTATCTTAATATTTATCTATCAATATCTCTGTTTCTATACTCATTTTATAGTGTAGTGCCCATAGTGCCCTATGGAGAATAATTCTATTCTAATTCTAAGACTGAATTAAACTTAAATGAATTGAAACAACAGCTGCAGCGTTTTCAGTTTATGTTTTTGATTTCTTGTGTTATATTTTGAGATTAATGTTAAGTTCTTTGATTATTGTTAGTTTGCCTCAAGTTGTAGTCTCGGTTATGTTTCACCCGCGTCCTCTGTGTTGTCATACATTTCTTGTCTGTGTGTTCCATATTGTCAAGCGTTCTATGTTGATTGTGTTTAGTCTCACTTTTCTCCTGTGGCATCATTATGTTCATTAGTCAGCTGTTTCCCCATGTGCTTCCTCTTCTCCTGTGTGTATTTAGTCTGTGTGTTTTTTCAGTCTTTGTCTGGCCGTCTGTGTTTCCTCCCACCACGCCACGTCATGTTCCATGTATTTCATGATTTACGTTTATGTTTCTTCCTCATCATAGTTTGTCACACGTTCCTGTTCAGAATCATGTTCATGTCTGTCATGGTTATCACAGTTACGTTTTCCCAGTTTAGGTTTTAGTTTTAGTTATCGCCCCTGTTAGCCTTACTTTGTTTTTCTTCCATATCTGCGTATTGGGTCCTTTCCTTAAACACACACGGTTCGCAGCTGTGACAATATCAGCTATTAGTGGTACCAGTAGTACCAGCAACAACTAATAACAGCTTGTAACTAGGCCTCGCAGTCACATGAGGCTGCTGCCACTAGCACCAGCTGTGGAGAAGTGAGGAAGAGAGGAAGTAGATGAAATTAATGTGGTAAGAAAATAGATGGAGGGGCATAATTAGGAGGGGAGAGATTTAAAG